GAGTAGATCTTGTTGATTTTATCTCTCAGCTTCTACATGTATTTTACGTAGGTGTCATCAAGGATAAAGAGTCACTCGCACTTTTGCAAATTGCCGTGCACGTGCAGTAGCAGTTAAAATTTGGTTTTACGCTGTCCCCGGAGGACCTATAGAGGGAAACGTAGCTGATGCATCGCGCGCACAATGGACGCGGGAATGGGGGATGCTCGAGTACTTGAACGTATATACAGGAGGAGGAGAGCTAAGCCGATGTAAGGCATGCCTACAATGCCCGAGCTCCAAGTCTATGCATACCTGCACGAAGACGGATAGCTGCGGAAATAAAAGGAGAGCCACGCCAAGGTATACATCTCCTTCGGGTGTACGTGTATATATATATATAGGCTCATCAGGAGGGGAAAGAGAGCAACGCGACCGGTGTGTGTGCCCCGCGCCTGTACACAAGCTGTACAAGTTCAACGTCATTTCCCACGGTCTGTATACTCGTCGGTTTGGTTGTTGGCATGCCGGTAGTTGTGTGTGTGTGTGTACTGCAGAGGCCCCGAGTGTGTAAAAGGGCAGCAGCGGAGGAGAAAAGGAGGAACAACGAGTATATATTATATATATATAGGTACGACCATGACGGGGGATGAATGGCAGGAGCGGGTCCCACATCGTTTACCCTGTACATGTGTATAAGGTAGGCCTCCACGTTTGTGCGAGTTTGCCAGCAAAATCGGCGCGTCACGAACAAAAATCGAAATGTTTTGTGCCCCATCGCAATGTAATATGTACGGGCTTCACGGGCGGGGCCATAAATAGGAGAAAGCGACGGAAGGGGAATCATATAGATCTCTGTGTGTGTTTATCTATCTGTGTACCCAAGGTTTAGGGAAAGGTACCTATACTCTCGTGCGGGGCGACGACAATAGTAGTCATTCAGTTTGGTTTTTCGCTGAGAAGTGCACGTACGGGATGTGGTCGCTGGTATACAATGGTATATACGCACGTGGTTTTTTCTTCGCACGCGATCGCCTGCAACATAACCGAGGTATAAAGAAGTGAACTGTGCACCAGTTTGCTGAACTTTCTTTGGATTCTTTAGTTTTTAATTCATTTTTCTTTCTTTTATAATTTCTCTTTTAAGCAGCAAGCTCGTGTGTGTGTGTATGGAAAATAAGATATGTTTTCCAATTATTTTCAACGTTTTTTTTCTATTTTCACCAGCTCGTTTCTTTAGAAAAGTAGAATTACTCGTCGCGACTCTAACGTCAGTAACGATTATAATTAATTCGACGACGACGACGACGAAGAAGGTCAGATTCGACGAGCGTAACTTTCACATGCGTTTTATTAATACGCATCATAATGTCATATTTGATCGTCAATCGCGAGTGATCGAGTACACCATGTACCCTACCAACCGTAATTTAACAATAGATCGACGTTTTTGAGAAAATTGTCATCCGTTGAATAAGTAGTTTTAGTAAGACCAGCTCGACCAGCATCTTTGTGGCTTGACCATTTTTATCCCCCCCCCCCCCCCCCATCGTTTCGCAAAGCTGTTACGAAAGCTCGAGCGTCGCGCGGACACATTCGACGATACGACGTAAGAGACATCGCGAGGGTTCGACGCTTTGCGCTTCTCTTCCCCGACTCTGGAATCATAAATACAAAATTTTAAGACGTGGAAAAACTGCAAGTACATGTTCAGAGAGTGAAAGGGAGGACAAAAGCGGGGGGCAGAGAGAGAGAGAGAGAGATAAGCCACCGAAAGTACAAGTATATATATTATATACTGTGCTCGTCGGTGAAAGCGATAACAAGCAACATGTAGTGTTGAAGATAAATACACAGCTGGCACGCGTTTACGTATACGATTTTCGAACGAACGGAAAAGACAAACGCTCGCGTATCCACGTGTTCTCTCGAATAGGGCTGAAAGAACCCTAGCTTCATTGGGCGCTGTAAATTTTTATTTTCTCTCGAGTTCTGGAAAAAAGGTCACATATATACACCACGCGTACAGCAGCGATGATTTCTCCCCTCATAAAGCACGATCAGTTCCAGAGAGAGGGAGATGAAAAAACCTCGATGGGGAGGGTAATTAAACCCTATGCTGTGAGAAGGCAAGGGATGAAAGATGAAACGAGGGAACAAAAGAAAAAGGTATAGAGCTTTGCGTGCAGGCTCCGTGAAAATCGGTCGAAAGCTTATTATCCGTATCGTACAAGGGAAATCGTCAATAGTGCCATCACTTATCGTGTGTGGCAACGGCCAAATCGCCGGTTAACCCGCATTCGAGCAAATTTTCGTAGCAGCATCCGTTTCTCCCTCCCTCCCCCTTTTTTTCTCCACACTTACCGATCGTACGTATGAACACCGACTCTCAATTCTTTTTTTTTTTCTCCACATCTCCGGGCGGCCTGTTTTTCTCCTCCCCGTCGCGGCTACTTACCAATACCCAACGACGATCCGTTGATGACAAGTTTCAGTCGTCGCTCCAACGAACAAAGACCAGCGACACTCATCACGTGTGTATATACACATTAATATATATACATATATACACACGTACCCATATTATACAGACACTATGTGTACACACAACGGTAGCTGCAGCAACGAGAAGTAGTAGTGGTATCATAGCGGCGCGGCTTTTTTATCTCAGCGAAGCGCGAGAGAGGAATATATAAAAGTACAAGTGGAAGGGATCGGCGGCGCCGCGCGCGTTAGTGCCATGATTGTGTATTACACATGTGTGAAATAAACCCGCATACGTGGAGGCAGAATAAAATCCAGCTCGGCCCCATCGCGTTGTACGTGTGTATAAATAATTCTACTGCTGCTGGCTGGTGTACGTCTCTGTTAATATACTTGTGCTCTCTCTCTCTCTCTCTGTGAATATGATTATTAATGCGAGAGAGAGCACGAGGAACTCGGTATGTATACTTATTGTGTTATGCGCGCTCGCTCGCTTCGGTCATCGACTGTTCGCGACGACTGTTCTTTCCTTATGCCGATGTATCGGCGTGTTGTTCCTTTTTTCTCTTTCTCGCTATCGCATGATTCAACTTTCCTCGATCATCCTAGTCGTCGTCGAGCCTCTTCGCGTGTCTACCATGTAATTGAGAAAACTGTCCCGAAGGCTGGTTATACATTCGCCACGCAACCGATTTATCGTGTAGCATCTTCTTGCCGATACTGGCGATGGTGTTGGGGAAAAAGAAGATCATTACCGTGATGTACTTGGGTACGTTTCGTTTTTGTTTGTTACCATTAATTGCTGTGCGGCGAGAATTATTCCTTTTCCCCGGTGGTATTGCAACGATGACGATTATCGCTCGGAATCCGTTCGGCTCGTGTTTCATCTTTTTTATCTGGCACGCCCGCGCTCGCGTACACTCGAGAGCGTAATTTTTCTCTAAACGCTGACTGTGCGAACCACGTATTTAACACCACTTGCACTGGAACTTTCAACTTGATTCTCGAGGCTACTTTTGCTTTGTTTTTTATACGATAAGTAAAATGGCGTGTTTTGAGAACATTGGTTTTTTTTTTTTTTTTTTTTTCTTTATTTTACTTCATTGGTACACCGTCCTCGTGAATTTAAAGTCTCGAGGGTTGAACAAAAATGTGGGTGTAACGATCTCTGCTGGGATTCCCCGCGTACCTAATCGTCAATCGTAACGAGGATCGAAACAATTACCGTGTCAATACTATAGCTCTTGAGGTAAAAAATGTCAGGTTTGACGAAAAGACCGAACGTACGTTTAGTCGAAATTTAGAGATTAAAAAAAGTTGAAAAACAAAAGCAAATCATCCGTCCACTTAAAAAGAGGTAAGTACATGTAAAATATGAGTTTCGGAGCGCCAAAAAGGAGGAAAATGGAAGAAAGAAAAGAAACAAAGTCAACGTGACCAACTCGTGGTGGTGGTGGTGTCGATTGCGCTAAGTGGGTGTTGGTCTAGTGCACAGTTATTGGCACATGTGACTAGATCCACACACACTAAGTGTGTTTGGCCGGAATCAGCGATGAAATCTCCAACCGAGCGTGGGAAATGCAACGAGGTGTTGTTCGAGAACAAGGCGATTCCATAGACGAGTATGGATTTGGTGCACGGATTTTATTAGTAGCGTGACTAGATTACACACTCGTCTACGGCAGCCCGTTTTTGGAGCCCAGCGACAACGCTGTACATACGTACACATNTTTTTTTTTTTTTTTTTTTTTTTTTTTTTTTTACTTTGGTGGTAAGTAAGTTGTGTCTTCATTCCACCAGACAAAGCGAGTAATTAACGCTGGATGGATGGAGAATATTGGTCCAAGTCATTATTATTTTTGTCACTACGTTGCCATTAGGCATCAGAAATATGGAAATTTTTTCATTTCGAGCACCAAAGATAATTAACGAAATTAACGCTAGTCGTGAAATCGCTGCGAGACGTTACACGTGTACACATTACGCGTGTCTTTTTCTTTTCCTCTTCTTGTACCTCTGATTTCGTACTACACTTTCGCGCGATGGTCACGAAGAAATGGAATATCGCGTTTAAAAATCCCTCTGAATGCATAAATAAATATCATTCCTTCGTGGTATTTCCAAGCGTGTGTAATTTGCATAATATACACGCGACGTGCAAACCCTTTGTTCGATATTCATTTTTAAAAAGTCAGCGAGGAATGGTAATGTACAATAAACACCGTATGAACATCTGCACACGATTCATGCGATCTCGCTCGAGTAACAACAATAACAGCACTCACGAGTACGTGTTTTCTTTCTTTCTTTTTTTTTTTTTTTTTTTCTTTATTTTACTTCATTGGTACACCGTCCTCGTGAATTTAAAGTCTCGAGGGTTGAACAAAAATGTGGGTGTAACGATCTCTGCTGGGATTCCCCGCGTACCTAATCCCCATCGCAATGTAATATGTACGGGCTTCACGGGCGGGGCCATAAATAGGAGAAAGCGACGGAAGGGGAATCATATNTCATTTTTTTTTTTTTTTTTTTCTCTTTTTCATTTTCAATTTAAAGAAGCGCAAGAGGAGCCCAGATCGCGAAGATAGCAGCAGAGGCGGCGGCGATGCCGGCGGCGCGTGCGAGACCCAACAGCCGGCGAGCCACGAAGACAACGGGACCGTCTCACAGGCCGCAGTCTCCTCCATCGACTCCACCTACTCGACCCAACTGTCGTGAGTATACATCCCTTCTTTGTTTTCCTTCTCTCTCCCTTTCTCCATCATGTTTTTCAGTCCTTAAGAAAGTTGAATTTCAGGACCCAACAATCGGGCGGTCGCCGAGTCCTCGCCACCTTCGGTCCCAAGGTCGACTCCTGGACGAACGACCGAGCCCACAAGTACGACATCAGACGCGCAGGACCCCACGTGCCCCCGGACGCGCGTTTCATGTTCGAGCTGTTGAAGACCACGTCGGAAGTCCGCACGCGTGTCTGTCGCTCGATCGGCATTCGCATCAACAATCTGTGGGCCGCGCAGTCCAGCGACGACGTAATGATCACCTGGAACGTGCGCACCCGCCACCAGCAGAAGTACAGGACCTGGGGGCGCGTCTGCTTCGACTCGGAGACCAAACAATCGAATCCCACGGTGTTGCTCGAGGGCTGCAGGCAACCACCGAGGACTTACACCGCCGATACCAAGAACTGGCCGCAGGTTTGATTTTGCTTGTATGCTTTACTCTGTGTAAGTATAAACGTCTCGAGATCGTTGGATTGTCTGACACGTGGCGTGATCGCAGGTCGAGCTGGACGTGAGCGAGCTGCGCGAGTGCTGTCTATTCCCGGGGCAAATCGTGGCGGTGGAGGGCCTGAATCTGACGGAGAATCTTTTGAAAGTGAGCGACATGTTCAGGGGTAGTTACGTACCCGTGGCCGCGCCGCCGAAGCTGACCGATAAGCTGAATCTTGTGGTTGCGGCAGGTCCGTTCACCCGGTCCAACGATCTCAACTATCAGCCTCTGTGGGAGCTCATGGATTGCGTCGCCGAGGAGGAGCCCCACGTGCTCGTGCTCATCGGGCCCTTCATCGACTACAATCATCCCGATGTTCAGAACAACGCCTTCACTTGCACCTACCAGGATTTCTTTAACAAGCTCATTCTCAGGATCAAGGGCTACTTAGAAGGGTGAGGGATTTGATAATAGAGCATCGAGCGTGTTTCGATTATTATTTGATTTTTTAATGTTTCTGTGTGTTTGTGTTTGCAGAAAGTGTACTCAAGTAGTGCTAGTGGCTTCCAACCGGGATGTACACCATTACGCGGTCTATCCGACTCCGGAGTATTTTATACCAAAAAGCGTTCAGAGCCCGGAGGTTCACGTTCTACCTGATCCCTGTACATTGGACATCGATGGTCTGAGACTTGGAATCACGTCAACCGATTGCCTCATGCATCTCGGTCGTCAGGAGGTTACGCTCAAGTCATCCGGTATGGACAAGTTGAGCCGCTTGGGAAATCATATATTAAATCAAGCCTGTTTCTATCCGTTGTATCCACCAGCAAAGGAAGTCAACGTTGACTCTGAATTGTGGGAAAAGTATGCGTTTTTGAGGGAAAAACCGCACATGCTTTTCTTGCCGTCAGACATGCGGTACTTTTGCAAGGCTATTAACGATTCCGTCATATTAAATCCCGAAAGGTTGAGTAAGCGTACATTTGCCAAAGTTAACTTCAAACCAGGTACCGATGGTTGGACACAAGATAACATATCGTGTGAAATCATCAAAATGTAACTAGTATTGAATACTTTTGTACAGTTGTATTTATTTGTATACTAAGTCGCGTGTAAATTTTATTTTTCATAGCGTATAAGCCTAATTTGTACTGATAACATGTTCTTTCAAGTCTTAGAAAGTGCAGCATGTGTCAAAAAATGTACAGAACGAAAATAAACACAAAGTAAAAACAAATTGTTTAAAAATCTAAAAATGAATTTTTATTTCAAAAAAATATGTAACTTGCATCTAGATTTCGCACATGTAACAAAGCATATCATCATTTGATTAATGGACCCAAAATATTGTTGGCAAGTAAGATAAAAGAGTGCTCAAAATTAATTTTTAATCATGTAATTATTAATATATGCTATAGAAAAGGAATTATAGCTTATTGGAAGATAAATGTAATCGATCGATAGTGCCAGAATTAAAAAAACCCGCATTTAAACAATGCTGCCGTTATTACCGATAATAGGTAACATTGGTAGCTGATAAGCATCAGTAGCTCATCTAGGCACCTGTAGACACATTTACCGACCTAGAAAAAAAAATACATATATATATACCGTCGTCGTCGCATCGGGGATCGGAGGAGGAACGCTAGACAAGAGGAACCTTCGCGTTTTTACGATATCTTTGTGTGTGCATGGTGTGTATTTATCTACCGTTCTCAGTTTATAGGTGTATATATACAGTATATATCGAACCCACGGTACATCTGCCTCGCGAAAACAATAAATTTTCCCGCGAAGTGACCGCGTGTTCGATCAACCAGCCCACCCTAAAGGAAAACTCATCATCGGACTCCTCGTGGAAGGGGCCAGACAGTCGGAGGATCACGCCGAGCGACGGCGAATGTAACTCAGGTAAGCGATCCCCGGGTGGCGCACCTAATCCGTGTACGAGGACTGCTAAGCCAACGTTACGTGCTTTGGCTTCGCCATCTTACCACCTATATGCTCCCTGAACGACGTAACGCGTACCCCTTGAGTGTAAGCTCGTGCAAAGGGGCATTTGTTTGCTTTTCAACTCTCTGATGCTCTTTTTACTTCTAGTTTTCCTGTACTTCCTGATGCACTCGCGTACAGTGCTACCGATGGCTATTGTTGTACCCATGGCTTAAGTCTGTGTAAACATTATTTGTTTTCATTTTCTTTACACTGCCTTTACAGCGCTAATGATTGTATAGATATAGCGTCGGTGCAAAATAGGGAAAAAGAGAAAGTGCGCGCGATGAGGAGACTCGTGTGTGCTTGTGCTGACTCGTTTTCGTGGGTGGCGTCTGTGGTCTGTCAGATTTTTATTGGAGGTTAGGATGATATATTTCGTGCGTCGTCGTAATATTTTGCTCGTCCACTTGGTGATGTGCATGTTTCGCACAGCGGAAGACTGCGGATCTATCTCTGAAGCCTGACGTCATCTTGATTAAGATGGCGAGGCCTAAAAAAAGCATAGCATTTAAATTTTGTATGAGATCTTTGTCATGGCTGTTATGATATTATTGAAAAACACAGGTGTGGCAACTCACTGAGTGTTGTTGCCCTTTAATTTACTGTTTTCGAGATTTATACTGTTGTGCAAACTACTTTGTTTTTCTATGCCATTATTTGGTAATAAAGTATTTGTTTATATAACTAAAGACTTTGTGATTGGGAAAACATTTGCTTTTTTAGGATACACTTTATTTAAATAAGTAACTGTACAATAATTTTCATATTTACAAAGCTATGGATGTGTCCCATCAGGCTTAAATGTTCTTACTTATATACGGTTTTAAAGAATAAAGTTGAGAAAAATTAAAACCTTATCAAATAACATTATAGTGTAGTACAATTAATGTGCCTCACAATAAACAAAAATATAGAAAATGTGTCATAAGGTGAGCTAACTGGGTTACTTATACCTACCAATTTATTTTTAAATTTTATTAGTTATTGCAAATTGCCATGTAATAATGGTTGTTAAATATATTCTTGCAATTTTTTTTTTTAGTTTCGCTTACTTTTTTGTTGTAAATTGTAGTGCATAAACTAACGTAATTTTTGTAATTAATTTAAAGTGTTGGTATATACATACATGTATCATAATAATTAAAAAAAAATTAGTTGTGTAATTCGAAGTAGTACAGAAATGGTGACAAATGAAACGCAATTGCATAATGCAGCCTTATTTCAGAATATTCTTTGAAGTATGCCTTAATAGACATTATAAAAATATATATTTTTCTTAAAATAAAAATTTTAATTTTACATTTTTAAATAAAAGTTCTTAAAGTTCAATGCTGTTACAGAGTTTTCTAAATAATCTTAAATGAATCAGTGAAAGTGCGATATTTTTATTTTTAAGTGACTATAAGCATCACTGTGCTCTTATGAAATCCAAAACAACACAAAAAGTTCAAGTTTCAATAATATTGTTTTAAATAAAGCAGTGAAATAGTTGTCTCTTCTTAGTCAAAGCATTATGTGATAAATCAAAACATACAGGTTTATTTTAAGAAAAATATATATATGACATGTACTTGTTACAACTTGTTAAAGTCCCCCAAAAAAAAAAAAAAAAAATTCACTGTAATAAAATTATAGGTCAAGAAAGCAAAATCCAAAATTCAAAACAGAGACAACTATTTTGTAAGGGAAATTGTATTTTCGAGTCATAAACTGGTGGTATGAGTAACTTTACATCTTGCCAAATGTTTTTTGTTACTCCACTGAAAGTGATGCGCGAAAATTTTGATTCTAAAATATCTGCAATAAAAATTAGTTTCAGAGATTCACGATTTTCCTTGTTTAATTAATGAGACTGGAGTAACAAAAGACTTGTCAAGGTTTCATGTGTCGATATTATATTTTCTATTGATAAACCAACTGCTTTATTTAAAACAGAGTTATTGATTCCCAATTTTTTGTGTGTGTTTCAGGGACTTGACAGGAGGAACCCATCTGCTTGTAAATAGTTAACGATACTCTAAAAAAAAAAAAAAAAAAATCGTGCCCCAATGAAAGTAATAAAATCGTACAACATGACAAAAGTCTCGGCATGCGAGAACATGTCGTTCTACTGTCTCTACTAGACGTCTGCTACATCAGCATCAACTTTAAATTGATGCAGCTCTGAAAGCAACGGCACTTGCCAAAGTACCTTGTCAACCAGCCATAAACTGGCTCCGTTTACTCGTTGCCTCGAACGCCCAAGCACCAAGAACATAAATGCGCTCTAGCTTCGGCGACAACATGGGGCCAACTGTTAAGGATTCACCTCCAAGCAGTCCCGGTTCGGAGAGCTTGAGCAATAGCGCCGCAGCTTCCGGTCGGCGAAAACGGCCCCGTACCAACGAAGGCAGAGAAGGTGGCGGTAATGGTGCTGGGGGTGGTGGTGGTGCTGGTAGTGCCGGTACTTCAACCAGTAGCGGCTCACAGCAGCAGCAGCAACAACAACAACAGCAACAGCAAAATTTTTCCTCGTCCTCGCAGTACAACTCTATGGAGTCCAAGTACCAGCCCAAAGAGGAAAAGGAGCCAAAGCTCTTTGACAACGGTGTGAACGCTCCCCACATGCTTGGCAACCAGCTGAACCCAGCCTCGTCCATGGCTCAAAAGATGTCAGACACTCTGTCCCAGGAAATGAAAGCCCACTCGATATTTACCGAATCTAGCAACTCGGGCATGAACTTGGTAGGGCCGCCACTGCACAGTCGCGTCATCGCCTCGGTTAAAGCAAACAGTCAAAATGCAACAAACGCGGCCACTTCCTTCTCGTCGGTATTTTCGAACAACTCGAATGCGTCGAGCAATAGCGGAGTTTTAGGCACCGGTACCATCCCCCAGACGCTGGACCAGCTACTGGAGCGCCAGTGGGAGCAGGGCAGCCAGTTTCTCATGGACCAAGCTCAACACTTTGACATAGCATCGTTGCTCTCGTGTTTGCACCAACTGCGGGCCGAAAACATGCGATTAGAGGAGAACGTAAACACATTGCTGCAGAGGAGGGATCACCTGCTGGCGGTCAACGCGAGGCTGGCAATACCTTTGACCTCGCCCTCCAACAACAGTAAGCATCGATTATCCCATACGATAGCACACTCGCATTTTATTGCTCCTTCGTGTACTAGCATTGAACACTAATCGAGCCCTTGTCGTATTTAATCTCCCACAGCAGGTAGCCACACTAACATAGTCGAGAACGGCATGACGGCAAACTCGACGGCACCCGAGGCTGCGTCGCAGCACTCGCAGTTTGCACACAGGACGTCCTCAAGCACACCACAGCAGAGCACGACGATCAGACATGCCTCGGGTGGCAGTATCTATCAGGGCCAGTCAAATAATTTGATTTCGCAGAACAATGCGAACAACTCGAATTTGATTAGAAACTCGTCGGTCGACATGATGCGAAACATCCAGAGATAAGGAGCCGCTTGTATGTCCAGATTTAATGGTTGAGTGGTTTATACAATAATGACGTTTGTAACGACTAGAGACCAACCTTTTTTTACATACTAGCTTAATACTTGTCAATAGCCGAACTCGATAAATAATCTCGCTACTTTTTCAATTTTACGAAGTAAGGATCATCTTTTACATCGGTGCATTAAAGTGTGGCGTCTTACTTCTAGAAATGAATTTCGTGTGTAGTATTAGCTTTTACGAGAGACCATATGAAAGCTATAGACATTTTAAAAATGCATTAGCCCTAAAAAAGACTTACGAGCATGTGTTCATTTTTTAAATACATTATTCAAATCATTTTACTTAATGCACATATGCCCCTTTTTATATAAATCGCGTTCGATGAATTGTAATAAAATATGTGCAGGCAAATATTTGTCTGTGTGAAATAAATAGAGTTATTAAGGTTCACTCTAGAGTTTTAGCTCAACGAAAATGTAAAAAAAATTTTATATGTTGATTTTTTGGTATGACGTATCAAAAGCGGATACTTTTTATTAAACCTTTTTTAGATGAATATTAATATACAAATATCGAAAAAGTATGAAAAAATTACCTTCAATGTTGCAAAATTGTAAAACAATTCTTTTTTTTTTTTTTTTTCATACTTAAAGTGAAGGAAATTTAGTTATTTAAGGAATGCAATCTTTTTTTTTTCGTTATTGTCTTAAATGTGAATAGTTTTCTCTATAGACATAAAGAAACAATAAAACTTCAATTTGTAAATTTAATTGCGATTTTATTTCAAGTAACACTCAAAACCTTTACATAACAGCATGATGCAAGACTGGCACGTAAGTTTCGGGTTTTTCTGCATTTTAATTAAAAGAGCTTTTATTAAAAAATTTCTTATTGCTTAAATAGCTTCATGAATTTTTACAGAAAAACTAGATGCAACATCTACGTGCTCCTGCATATTCTCTTCTCCTGAATCATAAAAGTAAATCTCACTCTGTTTTATTATCGTCAAATTGTATAGTTTTGTCACCAAACACTTGGTTGACACAAGGAACAAACGTTTGCAAGTGGAACTGGAAATGGTTCATTAAATTCTCTTCCGCTCGTTCACTTTTAGAGATAAAACAAATATGCCGTCTTATCGGTGATGAAACAAAACAGAGGAGATATTTTGAATATGATGAATAAACGAACGAGATTACGGTTGCGCAAAACTAAACGTAGTGCATATTACGTGCTCGAAGCGTCGTTATCGTGTCTCACAAAGTAACGCACACGTTTTGCGCGTTGCACTCTGCGTCGTCTTGTGATTACGCATGGGACACTAGTTGAAACGCATACGCCAAATTCTGTTATCTGCGTTCATGTATCGCCAGACGCTGTGTACTCTGATAAGGTGAATTCTCTCGTATCGTTAACGCGTGCCCTTGAGCTCAAATTCATTATGTACAAAAAAAAAAAGTGTACAGATGNGAACTGATCACATTTTAATGTCCACATTATTAATACTAAAACGAGCATCAGCTAATGTGACTCTTTTATTTTTTAAAAAAAAAAAAAGCTTTGACATTACTAACAGTGGGATGGACGGATGATTTTCTAAAATAAACATACATAGAAGCTGACTATAAAAAAAAAAGAAGCTTTGACATTGAAGAATGACGCGCTCGGCGATATAAATCAAAATTTCGGCGTGAAAAATTCAAGGAAAAAAGCTCGTTCCGAGAACGAGGAATCCTCAAAAGTCCCACTCGACTGAAAAAAAAAGAGCGAGATCCGAATCCGCCTTGAAATCCAAGCCCAGAGACGAAACAAAGATGCGCCTCTTCCGCTGCGTATGCCGGCTAGCTCGAAATGATTCACGAAACAAAAGCGACGGAGAAAAAAAAATACAAAATTGTACTAGGTGTGTTTGCAATGGAAAAAGCTCGCAAGCTCCTCGGCACGTAACGGGCGTGGCGATAGAAGTTAATTTAATCCAAATGAACAACTTACTCGAAAGAAATGGCAATTAATTTGTAAAAATTACCCTAATGCGTCGAGAGACCTGTTGTCACCCAGGGACTTTTTCGCTTGACAAGTTGTGCGCCATTACTCTGTTATACGCCACGATGTATGTATGTAGGTACGTATTTTTTAATTGCCCTTTTAATTTACCTTTGTAGCGGTGAAAACAACTTTGTTGGGTAAGTTATTGTTTGTAAAATGGGTGCGTTCTTAAGAATTTTTTTTTTTTTTTTTCGTTTTATTCTGCCCGTCACAACAACGAGTCTCGCATACTTGCGATGATCTCATCTCGGTCCAATATCTTCGTTACACGTCTCCAGGTCAAGTGACGTAATTAACATACGACGACAAGAGCACAACGTACCGGATAATGTTTGCACCTGCTTCAATAACGCGTCCCTAAATCATGAATTATTCATCGCGCGCACCGCAAATATTGAAACTTTGGATTAACGAAAGCGCAAAACTTTGATTGATTAATGATCGTCAGGTTGTTCCGAATCAAACGAAACGTTGTATTGTGGGCGACTATATGCAATTGATAATTAATGCAGCCATTCACGATACGTACATCCATATAACTATATGCACACGAGATGACGGAGGGAACTCATCTTTTACGTAACATACCCCCCCCCGCGAGATGCAAAAGTTCTTTTTTTTTTTTTTTTGTTTCTGCCAACAAACCCCCCACAGAAAATAAAAATTTAACCGCAGCTTTCGAGCGTGCACACGTACGTCCCTCCTCTAAACACGTATCTACGCCGGTGGGCCATTTTTTTTTAAACAGACTTTGCTCGCATTTCGGGTCATACCTACTTAGGTACACGCCAAGGACTCGAATAATAATACGTTTTCTCTCTTTCTTGTCTCTACACGCGTGTTATAATGTATATACATATACTTATACAATGCATTTGCACGTCCGTATATTATATAGTACAAAAAACACACACCAAACGGAAATTCGCATGCACGTGGTGTGCGCGCCTCGGGGGGGTGGGGGGTGGGGCTAGTTTCGTTTCACTCGAGTGTAGCGTAAATGTATACCTACGTGTAGTTTGAGCGCAAACGGCGGCTTGCCGTGCAGTCAAGTTCAAGGCCACGCTTGCCTCGTATACATTTATTATAATACGCGCTCTCTCGGCTATACCTGCCCCCCCCCCTAACATACATGGATTGCACGTTGAAATTTTGTGTGGCTCTCGGATTGATATAATGTTAACTGTATATGGGTACGTGCTGGAGCTAATTGCTGCGCGATCGATTGCACTTGCAAAGTGTGTGTTTTCATGCGTGCTCGCGTAAGAGGAGATAAATAAAAAAAGAGAGAGAGGGAGAGTGAGCGCTTGATTTGATTAGCCAGCGGTGCGCGAGCTCTACATATATATATATATTATACCCACCCACGCGGGCGCACTCGTTTCGAAGCGATGTCGCCGCTGCATCAGGGACCCCCTGCTGCTGCAGAAGCATACCTATTACGCCCCCCCCCTCTCTCTCTGTTTTGCCTGTGTAATTTTAGGCGATGCTGGGAAGCTATACGTGGGCAATTATCCGTTTGTCTGAGACCAAAGGATTCAAGTTGCACCTTAATTTTGGACAACAAATTTTAGATTGCAATTTCCTTTTTCTCTCTTTTTATTTGATTGGCATAAAAAATATTTAGCTCAACGATACGAAACTACATCACATGAACACCATATAAATATATACTTTATACGTTGGATTTCGGATTGGCGCACTCTAGCGCACGCATACTTCCTGCCCCTCCCCCCGATTTTTTCCCTTTTGCTCCTTTTTCCGGATTTAAAAAATGTTATCTCATCGAAAAATGATGAAAAAAATACCCAGCTACAATGCATTCGGAATCCGAAATTTATATTGTTCACCGGTATATTTCATAAAAATCGTGCATACGTTGTGTGTACACGATGCTGATCATGATGAGTTACGCAACCTCCCTCTCTCTGTGTATATACGTGTGTGTTTAATCAAAGGCTTTTTATTGATTCGACGATACACTCGAAGAGAAAACAAAGTCGAGAAACAGTTTACTTTTTTATTTTGATAATGTAATTTAAAGGGGTAGTAGGTATATAGGTACTTGGACGACATGTTGCACAGATCCCATGTGCAAAAAAAAAAGTCGAGTCCCAGAAGGGAGTGGAGATCAGGTTGTTGATGCATGTAGGTACATTTGCAATCTGCGCGTGGCAAACGAACGAGCGCGTTACGTCATTGCGAGGAAAGGAGAGGAGAAAAAAAAAAGGTACTAAGATCACGCCAGAGGGGAGGAAAAGTTTGTGCAAAAGTTGCATAAACAAACGATGCATCGCGTATATAATTACGTTTATGTATAATTATGTGTGTGTGTGCACATATGTATATCAGTCATTTTTTTTCTTTGAGAAATTCTCCGATTCTTTCATCATTTTTCTTTCGAATTATAAGTACCTATGAACGATGATTTGTGTATTTTACTCACATATAGGTATACTCTCGCGAGAGAGTCGACTCCAGCCTGCTTAAAATGTTTGTACATATAGGTACGTGGACAAGTGGTAATGATTAATGGGTCGACGATCCAAACAATCACGCTGCTCGTTCCCATGGGTTTTAATCGATGGTTAAATCCGGTGATGATAACAAACGTTTATACATGCTTCGCTCGTGCATATAGGTATATAATTACGTTCATGGGTTGGAATTAACAATGCACGACTAGAGTGTATAATCCAATGGATAGGTGGAAGAGTCGAGTCACGGGAGGAGCTCTTTGTGGGGCTGATCCTTAGATCGCTTGTACGTGTGTATATTGTAATCGGGCCGATCTATACCGATATTCGGCTGACTTTATTTCGACATTTTTCGTCCATCACGCTCGAGAACAAGGAACAATAAAAATGGGAAATTAACGCAACGCTTTTGCCGTAAATGTCAAAATTTACATTTATATCGAGCAGGTATTTAAGCGGGAACAAAGTACTTTTATCGAAACGCATCGGCATAATATGATCCCTAAAACGTGGACTTTTTTTTCCACGGGTATAGGGGTACGTATTAATAGAAGCAAAAAATTTTTGGATCTACTTTTGCTTTCAAAGAATTTAAATAGTAATTTTATAGAAAATCCAAAAACATCAAGCGCTCCATAGACACGTGTCACCCATACATTATAAAATACTTTGTTATAGAGGGGTGGGGGAGGAGGAAATACATTTGATTTTATAATAAACAATAGCAATGGGTAACAACGTCGCCAGCAAGCCGTGCACTGTATCCGTAATGCACATATCGGGTAACAAAACTCTAGAGCAATGCATGATACAATTACGCGCAAGTATTATACATACATATTATTATATACACCATATACCGGCTCTGATTTCACGCCCGTGATATCTTGTGCGTCGCGCATACCAAAAGATACAGAAAAATCTGCCTTTTATATAAATGTACATGTCATAGAATGCGAGTGACGAGCTGCCGGATGCTGCAGAGATGCGCTTATCGAATGTGGTAGCGCTTATTCATTTTTTACGAGCATAATTTTTTCATCACCACCTGATGGGCTCTTTTTTTATTTTTTATTTTAGTTGAGTTTTTTCCTCACTTTACAGTCTTCGGGAGCTTTTTGTATCGATCGAGTTTCTCAACAACTGACAACTCCAACGTCCGACCTACTTCGAGAATACACCCGCGCTGATCGATATCATAGGTACTTACCGAAAGCAATAGCTTGCGGAGTCGCATCGTGTAACGGCGACCGATTAGCGAGTTGCGATTGATTTTTCAACCAGTGTCTACACGTGTTTACCTTAAATAATTTATTTTTCGGGAGTACTACCTACATATACGTGCCAAAGAAAAAAAAGAGGTAAAATGTATACGTCACCCGATCGGAAGAGCGCCTGTATACAGGGTCTTGGGGTTTTATTTTTTCCAAACTTCCAAAGAAAAACTTACCCACAACAGTGCTCTCCCAAGTACTTATAAATAGGACACCCTCCCTCCACCCCCGTTTCTGCACAAGCTCGACGAGAGCGTGGCACATTTAGGCAATATACATACAATATCCACCCACATTAGACACATGCACCCCAACAACCAAAGTGCACGTAGGTATGTATAGTTCACCCTCTCCCTCCCCTTTGGCCGGCACATGTGCACATCCCTTCCTCCCTCGTACTACAACTATGTGTATATGTATTATACACTGTTGGCTGTACGCCGGCATCATATTATGTTACACATCATGCAAGTGTATAGGTACGAAGACAGAGTATAGAGCAGTCAGATGTCGAGCATCGGCCCATCACGGTATTATACATACGTGTACACGTATACACACACACACACACACACACACACACATATAATAGCACACCAGAAGAGGAAAAGAGAATAAAAAGACCAAGAGGGAGGAGGAGGAGGAGGAAGAGAGGGCGGCACGCGAGAGCCGAGCGAGCACGCCGATGACGTTACGCGGCACAGACGACAGACACAGTTGCGCCCGGCCCGCGGAGCCGCAAACATCGAAGTGCTCGCCAGGGTGGTTTTCTCCCTCCTTCTTCTCCTTCTTATTGCGTTACATGTATGTATCGTTTTCACGGTGGTGCGGTGTTTTATATGATAACGTACCAGTGGTGTTGTCTCCTTGTCCAGTTTGACGATAAATAATAATAATAACAACTGGTACTTTGGTCGTGTGGAACGAATTTAAGGTGGTGGACGGCGAGCGAGGGGTTGAAAAACCACCCCCGGGTGGCCCGCGAGTGATGGGCAGTCGGTGACAACTGCTCGTCCGGGGCCCCGTTGCGGTGGCGGTGGTACAACACACCACGTGTATCTGACGTTTGTCGCAAGCTCGCAAGTTTATATATATATAGATGCACACGTGCGCTAGTGACAGCCGAGGCCCGTTGACTGTTGCCGCCGATGCCCACTCGCTCTTACCTGCCGATCGGCTGTCATCGTCGTCGTCCGGGTACTGCGGCAACGTGGAAGAAAACCCGGACTGCGGTCCGGAGTCGTCGAGGGGGAAGCACACCCACCGAGCTATGTACGACACGGCCATGGAGTCCTGGATGTACGAAGTGGTACGTCTCTCTTTCCAGTGCATTCCGTCCATATTCCGCGAACTACGTATCGCACAGGGTTCGATGATGATGTTATAGGTGTCCGTTAAAGTACCCGATAATAGCGGTGGCCACAGAGTGTGCGTTACTCGCGGACAAGGTCGCGCACAGCTACACACACGCGCGCGTGTAGCTATTCTCTCGGCAGTTACCCCCCTCGCTCTCGATCGAATATAAATGCGTATCGCCCTCCTCCTCCTATTCTTGTTTTGATCCCTCTTTGGCTTTTTGTTCCGCGCTCTCTTTTCTTTCGCCACTTCTCCTTTCTTCCTCTGTCCACCTCCTCCTCCTGCTCCGCACTCCCTTGGTTATTCCTTTCACGGCGTCGTCGCACACCGTGTGCACACTTTTTTCGCGAGTACCGTTGCACTGGGGTACAGAGTCGGCTGTGATTTGCACGAAGTTGCTGGTGTTTTTTGTCCCCCACCCCCCACCCCCTTCTCCCTTAGCTGTGGTTGACGAAAATCGAGCTAGGATTATTGGAGGTGTTTGATTTCCGCGTGTGTCCAATTGAGGGTACATCCGTGGTTTTCTTTCTTTTTTACGATCGAATAAACTTTGCTGCCACCCAAATCGAACCCTCTTTTTCCGCGCGACAAAATCGACAATTCAACTCACGTTGGGTACGTCTATTTCTTTAAATTTTTACCTTATAAGCTTCATTTAAACGCAATGTAATATTCCTACATCAAGTTTTAAACATACGTTAACTTCATTTGATTTGCGCAATAATTGCTGGATAGCAAATCGCTTCTGAATGATCCATAAGTATTGTGTGAATAATGGTAATAAATGTAGTTTAAAAAAATTTTTTTTTTTCCCTACAAAGCTTTCCAAACGAAACAAAAAAATAAAATAATTTCCTGCGATTACAATTTTTGAAATATTCATTACCACTTTTTTGATATTTTGAAAGGAAATTTGTTTCATCTACTTGAACGCCCGTATTTTGCACGTTAAAATGCATTAAAAATTCAATACTTGCTTTTGTATATTAATATTCATGAACTTAACTGTGTCCAGGTTGAACAAAATTGTAAATATAATTTTATATAGGATAGTAAAAAAAGTTACTATCTGCTAGTGATTTTACTACGGCATTTTTTACAGTGTATGATCCAGTTTTCCCAATATCGTCAAATGCATGAAAAAATTTGAAAAAGAAATCACGTACCTCAATTTTTTTCTTAATTCATAGCCATTTCACAATCTTGTGTATAAAAATTATTATTCAAAAGGCATCTTTAATCGATGAAAGAAAAAAAAAAAAAAAAAATCTTCATTACAAAATGCACGAATGACCGTGTGCATTTGGTTGGTGACGTAACTCCCACTTTACGATATGCAAGTAAATATTTTTCATTAAGTTACATTAATTTTATCATGTACAACCCATTCTCTCGCAAGATAACGATCCTTACTTTTGGAGAAGGAAATTTTTCCGATCACTTTTGTGCAACAACTTCGAGATTCAATATTAAAAATCATTTTTTAAAGCTTTAACGAAGCAACCATCTACTGTTTCGCCATTCAGACCTCCAATTGCCTTTGTACGTATTACATGTATTTTTATTCTCATTTTCATCAAAATAAAGCTACTTATTTGTTGAATTTCAAAGTCGATTGTTACGAAGGAACAAAATTTAGTTCGCAAACCCTTTTGGTACATTTGATTGCATATTGTTAAATTATTCTGCACTTAAAATTCAGTTGCTAGAGCTCTGACTACCCTAACAGATGATCTTTACGTATCACACCCGTAAGTGAAAATCTTGCCAGTATTGCTTCAGGTTGTCTTGACAATGCAAAATTTGAAATTTTAACAAAAATTTTTATGCAAAAAAAACCAAACAACTTTAATTTTATTCTAAATTGTGTTTCTCATTGATGCAATGATTTGATATTATTAATTTCGATTTATTGTTTGACTAAAGTTGTTTGATCCATTCTTATTTTCTTTTGGTAATCACTTTATTTTGTATAATGTAAGTAAAGTTTAATACGTTTATTTATGTTTTCAGCAGCTTTGAAAATAATTAAAAAACAATATTTTGTCAGCTTTATAATCAACGAGACAAAAATCGTTTGTTCATAATTTTTCTCGGAATGGAACCTGAAAACACTCATCTTTCGAGGAGAAATAAAAACTTCAAAATGTAGCCCCTAATTTTTTTTCTTCTTGCTAAAACAGGTATTTGTTACGTTTACGGAACAGTAGAAACATAAGTTGATCAAGAGGTAAAAGTTCAAAGTTTTATGTTCATAGTATGACGAATGAGTTTGTTTGTTTTTTTTTTTTTTTTTAGTACAGACTAAATACGATCACAACAATGATCTGAAATTTCGATATACACTAGCACCAAGTTCCTAGAAACATTGACAAAGCCTTTAACAAATATTTAGAAAATTTGGTCCGCTGTGTCGGGCAGTTTGGTAACTTCATCTCTTTCTATATGCATTTGCTTTACTTTGTAGTAGAAACAAAAATTTGAACAAAATATTTTTAATTAATCCCAAACAAACGTAAGTAATTGCGATGTTAAACTTTTTGTTGTACACTGTAAATTTATATTCACATAAGTTACAATGCAAAACATCAAATAAAAATAATCGATTCACTATTATAAGTAGTATATTCTTATGCGTTTGTAGGATGTGCGTAACAATAAAATTATTCAGCGCAAAGAAGCAGAAGTAAAAAAAAAAAAAAAAAAAAAAGTCTTATATAATCATCAGTCACAGTGGCCTCGAAGCGAATAAAGTTCAGGGTCACGCTGCAGCCAGGCGATATGATTATTATTTAAAGAACGTTACGGCACATTTTTTTTTTTTTTTTTACTATCGCTCAGCTTTCTCGAAGAGTTAAAAAATTAAAAAAAAGAAAAAAAAAAAACCATCGAAAATAAATAAATAAAATAAGATTGACAAACTCGCGCTCGGTTGCATCACCGCGCACGGCGCACGACGATTCTTGCAGCTCTATACCGATAAAACAATAAAAACAGGCGCCACACTCGATCGGCGCCCGTTCAATTTCGCTCACTATATGCGCACAGACCCCACGCTGTACTCGCTCTTTCGCTCCGCATTTTTCGAGGCGTGGGTTTCCACCCTCCCCCGCTTCTACGTTTTTTCACCTCATCCGCTCTCTCGCGAACCGTGACCAGTCCCACTCTAAAAATAGTGAGCCCACGCGAGATTGGGGACCTTGAGAATCGCTCCCCCCCCCTCGTTTATCCATTTCCAGGTGGAGATGCTTCTCGCCGAATCTGCAAGTGCTCCCGACTCGAGAGGAAAGAAAAACACCTTTTCTTTGAACAACAGGGAAACAAAAAAAAGTTCGCACAGCCGGTCTTATATGTAATTTCACATCAGCGAGTTCGGTAACGCGTGGACCGGGACCCCAGAGCGCGGTGCAAATAACACGGAGGAGGGAGCCCGACTCTGAAAAATCAACATCGGCGGTTTTTAGCAACTGTAAAAATACCCCTTACGAAAATAACGCGGTGTTTCCAAAAAAACATTCAAAGAGCCCTGGCATTGTGTTATTCCAACTCGAAATTGACGATTTGAGACAATGGGGACAAAAAAAAAAAAAAACGAACAATAATGGTCTCCCGTGACATCTTCTGTCAGTATAATGTACGCGCTCTCTTATGCTTATGCAACTTTTGAAGCGAGAAAAATAAAGCCAGCGCCGAGCTGTTGTCGCGTTCGGCCGCGTTTTATCGCTATTATTCAACGATGCGGCTATCAGCGCGAGCTGCACTCAATACGAGAGATAACCAGAGGTGGGGGAGGAGAGCCCGTCTCGGTGTTCTTGAACTCCACTGGTGACCGTCAAAAAGTCGTCATCGCTGATATCGGGGCTTTTCAAGGCCAGTGGCGAATTTCGCAACTCTCGGAGCGAATCGCGTTTTGGCTTATTTTTTCTCGTATCGCACAGTGCATGACTCATGCGGATCTCTCGCGATTATACTCGAGTGCGTAATATTTGAAGTAACCGCTGGAAAATACTGTGCCGAAGAGAAATTTTAAATTATTATTAATCAGGTATACCTATACCGCTTTCGAATGACGTGACGAATGTGTACCTATGTACACCGTAAATTCAGACTTGGGTATAATTATTTTATCAATTTTTAAACACTAAAAAAAAAAACATTTTATTCCTCGAATAACGTGCACTTTTTTGATGAAAACATTTTTTATTCATTAGTATTTGCAGTACAATATTGAGAATAATTTTTTTTTTTTTTTTTTACTGGCAAGTAAATACAACACATTTTAAATATTAAAATTTATTGTGGAGCATTTTAAATAAAAAATTTAAATACTTTTTCAGATACTTTGACTGTTTGTTTTTTCTTCAATTTTTTATGCATTATTTTTACAAAAAGTAATTAAAATATATTTAAAAAAAAGTATCCGTACCCAAGCCTAACCGTTGATCGTTGCTGAGACACGTTAGTGCGAGCATTTTAATTTTACGATCCGACGGCTAACCGATTAAAATACGACTCGCAATCAGAAAACAATAAACAAAAAAAAACTTGAGAGTGTAATGCGGAGGGGAAAAACAATTATTATCCGGGAACGAAGGCACGCATCGGATGTATTGGACAAAAATAGCCCGCTTTACGCTTCTGAGATCGTTAAAATGCAAAAATCGAGGGATTTGTAAAGCAAATCGGCACCGCGTTTATTCACACCCGATCGGCGTACATATTCATTGGCAACTCCACGTGTCAAAAAACACAACGTATTGGTACTTTCTCGCCCCGACTCATGACCGATGTTTCCCCAATGTACTGTCAATTGCCCGTGCTCTCACCTTTCTTTCTTTGTTTTTTTCCATCGCGTACTAAATATTCCAATTACACGTATACCTGGGCTAATTATCGATGCCGTGCTCGCGCATAAATCGGCATCTATTTAAATATACCCACTCGTCGCTTCGA